TGGTTTCACTCTCCTGGATGAACCTGTTTGTTCTAGCAGTCCGAGATATTACTCTTTTGCAGCATCATGGCTCAAAGGCATCAATTCTCCTTCTGTCATCCCTAGTTATTGTCCAGCTTTCTGATGCATAGTAGGTAACTGCAAAGACCATGGCCTGGATTGGGCACACCTTAGTCTCTAGCCTGACATCACTGCTCTTCAGTACTCTGGAGATGCCCCTAACAGATGACTTTCCCAATGCAATACGTCTTTTAATTTCTTGGCTGCTGGTAGCAAGAGTGTTGATAGTGGAACCAAGCTAACTAAAGCTGTTAACAATGTCAATCTCTTCAATGTCTATGATGATGCTGCCAATCGAATTAGTGGTGAGAATCTTTTTGTTTTCTTGATGTTGAGCTTCAATTCATATTGAAGGCTGCAGTCCTTGACCTTCTGCAGCAAGCACTTCAGGTCCTCTTCAGTTTCAGCAAGCAGGGTTGTGTTATCCACATTATGCAGGAAATCCCTCCAATCCTGATGCCACATTCCTCCTCGTAAAGCCCAGCCTCCCAGATGATTTGTTCTGTATTCAGATTGAAAAGGTATGCCATACACTCTTCCTGATTTTGAACCATGCAGTATTTTCTTACTCTGTTCTGGTAACTGCCTCCTTGTCCAAGTATAGGTTTTGCATAAACACAATCAAGTGTTCTGGGACTCCCATTCTTTTCAGAGTTTGCCAGTTTGTTGTGATCCACAGAACTGAATGCCTTTGCATAGTCACTGAAACACAGACATTTCCCTGGCTCTCTCTTCCAGCCAAGATCCATCTAACATTAGCTAGAATATCCCTAGTACCATGACCTCTTCTAAACCCAGCCTGCACTTCAGGCAGTTCTTTTGTTGATGTGTTTTTCCAGTCATTTTTGGATCATTTTCAGCAGAATCTTGCTCACATGTGGTATTAATGATACTGTTCGGTAATTTCTGCACTGTTGTATTACCTCTCTTTGAAATGGGAACAGATACAGATCTCTTCCAGTCAGCTGGCCAGGTGGTATGCTTAGCAGATCACAGGAGATGCTTTATGAAGAACGTGGCATTCGTATTGGAGGAAGATTCATAAAAAACCTGTGGTATGCAAATGAACAGAACCTTACTTCCTGAAAATAAAGACCTGAAAAGCTTGTGACAGAAAATAAAAGATCACACTCTTCAGTAAAGATTACATCTCAACATCAAAAAAACCCAAATCCTCACCATTCGGCTGGTAGACACGATAAAGAAGATGGAAATTATCAACTATTTCACCTTGCTTAGCAATCACTACCACTGGTACCAGCAGTCAAAATTAAGAGATGTGCTGCATTGGAACAATCTTCTGTCAAGGACTTCTTCAAGGTGCTAAGAGGAGATGTCAATTAGACGAGGTACATGACATTCAAGGTATGGTCTTTTCAATCGCTTCCTGTTTACTTAACAGCTGAACAATGAATGAAGACGAGAGAAGGGTCATTGATGCTCTTGAGTCGTGGTGATGCAGAGGACTGAGTATCTCATCAACTGGCAAAAGAACAAGCATTTCTTGGAAAACATAACCCCGCTGCTCATTACAGGCAAGGGTGGTGAAACTTTGTCTCTTTTTTTTTTTTTTTGGTACATTGTGAGGAGGGCCCAGTCCTTGGGCAAAGGCCTCATGCTTGGAAAGGTGGAGCGACAGGAAAAGAGGAGAGAGATCCTCAACAAGAGATTGACTGTTTTAATGGTGGGGTATATCAGAGGTGTTAATGGCCTCGGATAGGGCTGCTATATTGCTAAGTGCCACAACTAATACTGATAACAACACTATGAACAATGGATCTGAACTCTATCCTGTGTGAGCATCTCTGATACACACAAGTCCACCGCTACAGTCAGTTATCAATCTATTCTACTGAGGGTTTTCCATACCTTTCTTGACCCTTTACCTTTTCAAGGAGGTTATCCTTTTCCAAAGACTGGCCTGTCTTAATAACATGGACAAGGTATGTGAGACAAAGTTTCATTAATCTTGTCTCCAAAGAACACCCTAGCTGTACCTTTCCAAGATCTATTTGTCCATCCTTTGGCAGTTCATGGGATCTCCAGTATTCTTCTCCAGCACAATTCAAGAGCACTGATTCTTCTGTCATCCTTACTCATTGCCCAACTTTCAGGTGCATTAACAAATAACTGAAAAGATTATGGCTTGGGCGAGGTGCAACTTAGTCTTCAAACTGACATCACTTCTCTTCAGCACTTTGAAGCAGACTTCCCCAAGACAATACATCCTTTGATTTCTTGACTGCTGGCTGCAAGCGTGTTGATTATGGATCCATGCTTCATGAAATCATTGATAATGCTTGGAGACTATCTTCTCCATTTATCATGGTGTTGCCTATTGGTTCAGCGGTGAGAATTTTTGTTTAAATGTTAAGATGTAACCCATATTGAAGGCTGTAGTCCTTGTTCCTCTGCAGCAAGCCTCTCAAGCTCTCTTCGTTTTCAGCAAGCAAAGCTGTGTTATCTGCATAATTCAGGTTGTTGATAGTCTTCCTCTGATCCTGATGTCATGTTCTTCACACAATTCAGCTTCTCGGATTATTTGTTCTGTATACAGATGTAATAGGTGTGGAGGAAGAACACAGCCCTGCTGTACACCTTTCCTCATTTTAAACCATGAAGTGTTCCTTTGCTGTTTGCACCACAGCTTCTTGGTCTAGGTGTAAGTTTTGCATCAGCACCTTGCCCTGTCCTGCACCATCACCATCACCTCTCTGTTCAAGCTCATGGTTCGGTACAAGGTCAGTCCATTTGTTGAGGGTCATTCTTCCTCGGATGCTCTGTACCTCTGCGAGTACAGCATCTTTTTCCAAGAATGGGCCCCTCCTCACCACATGCCAAAGTATGTGAGATGAAGTTTCACCATCTTTGTCTCTAAAGGGCACGTTGGTTACATTTCCTCCAAGACAGTCTTGTTCTTTCTTTTGGCAATCCATGGGATTATTCAGTACTCATCCAAAAAGACCACAATTCAAAAGCACTGATTCTTCTTTGGTTTTCCTTATTGTCCAGTTTCTCAATGCATTAAGAAACAACTGAAAGTACCAAAGCTTGGGTCAGGTACCTTGAGTTTTTAAACTAATGCTCTTTCCCTTTATGAATTTAAAAAGGTATTCAGCTGCAGCTTTGCCCAATACAATGGGTTTTTTAACTGCTATTACATAGGGAAAGATAGTGGATCAAAGGAAAACAAAATCACTGACAACTTTCAATCTTTTGTCTATCTATCACACTCAGTCCTGCCTGCTGGACATTGCTGAGTTTATTTTCCTGTTGTTGAGATATAATCTATACTGAACTTTACTGTAAAACCCACAGAAATCCTTCCATATGTATTTCTACAATAACGTTCTAAATATATAGCAGAGTACTTAAATTGAAGGTTCAAATGCTGAATGCTACAAATGTTATAAGATTTTGGTTGTGAATATACGACAATATTTTTTAGGAATTATTTTTTTTATCCCCCCCCATTTTAGAATAGTTTAATCTGTCTGAATATGCAATCTATCAAGCCTTGTAAAAAAACCCATCACGTTTGTGCAAAGAAAACTAGAAAATACAAAAACAAATGATTGAGAATTAATGATTCATATTTTTTAAAATATAGTCAACCAACCTTCAAGAACTACTGAATAATTAGGGAGTAATTATTTTAGATTGTAGGCCAGGCAGCATTGTAGAAATCACCCATACATAACTGGATTTGTCTGTATAATAAATAAAACATTATTTCCATGTTAGATAGATAGATAGTTCATGAGTCAGAGTTTGTTTCCTTTTCTGTCAAAATAATTACACAGTTTTAGCCGAATCCATGAAATGGTCCAGAATAATTTTAGGACAATCTTTCAAATTTATCTTTTTAGTTGTCTGCCTCTTATTGTAGACATATCCACATTCCTGTAACTTAAAAAGGAAAATAACAGAACCATTAAAAACCCCCACACTCCAGCATGAGTTAAAACAGACATCTGGTTCTGCAGTAAACTTAAATGAATTCTATTTATTTTCACACACAACACAAATGCAAGTGACACAGTAAATCCCTAACTCCCCATAAAAACTTAAGTTAACAACTGAGAAACAAAATTCTTATAATCTTTTGCATCACTCATAACTATACCCTCTATGGAATCCATTAGCAGCAGAGGAGAATCTTAACTTAAAGCACCAAGTTTTCAGGCATTACTACAAATGTCTTTTCATTCTCTAATACATGCAGCCAAACTGCCTATGAAGCAAATACCAATTCACCTGATGCTTGACTGTATAAGGTAAAGCAGGTGGGAAACCAACATTATCTTCAAGTCTAAAATCATGATTCTACCTCTTTGTTATATACCCTTGCATGGATTTTTAAACTTTCAATGTAGTTATATTTAACATGATTATAAGTTTTGAACATAATTTCTCAGATTCGCCTAACAGCTTAGGACATTCATACTTGTTTTAGATGTCCTGAGAAAAGCAAAAACATTTCTAATCTAGAACTTCCTGGCAATATTTATTAAAAGTTAAATTTCAGATCTTACAGCAAAGCAAGAGTGTCTGCTCAAATATTATTAAAAAAGAATCAAAAACATAATCTCCCCTATGATATGTAAATTAAGGTACAAAATGTATTTTTAATATACATTTTATGGACATGTGTTTTCATTGTTTGAAATAGGGTTCAATGGGTATTTTCAAGGTCTTGCTAACATCAGTCCTATACACCCAGAAGTTACTGGATCCACTAAACAGACAATGACAACTGGCTGAGGCTGCTGACCAGGCTTCAACAGGAATCTGACACACAGACACAGATTTCATTGTCATGTTCAATGGCACTGAAGTCTTCCTTAATTCTGCGCTCCTGAGAGGCTGAAGACAGAGCACTAGACTGTTAGTTCTTTAGGCCCCACGGACACAAATCTGCTGTACAAAGGCTTCATTCTTTATTCTCGGCCTGTAGTCAGTAACTTGAGAGCCTTCTGTAGATTCTGCACAGCGGTGCTTACATCTTCATACTGCAAAGCACTGCCAGCGTATTTACAGTACTTCTGAGCTCTAGCAAAGTCCTCTGGTGTTAGACGGATGTCTCCTGGAAGAGAAGAGAAGCGAGGTTTATAAGCATCTAGAATATATTCTGTGAGATCAGGTGAACATTTACACTGAAGTATTAAGAAGCTTTTCAGTACATTAAGGAAGATTTCTGTTTTCATTCCCAGTTTTATTTAGGTAATTCTCTTTTCAATTTCTTCAAATTCACAAATAAAAGGCACAAATATGTCAATGCATAGTAACTTGTACTGGTAATATTTTCCTTTCAGAAATGGTAAACTAGAGGCTTTTATATCTTATTGGGTAACTGTAAAAAGCATTATGTACTGTGAAGCAAGGACAGCAGCCTGTTGTTTATGTTAGCCTTGTGGAGCACTTCTCTTCATGGAATACTACACTGAGACTACATCACTCTATTGAGCAGAAATACAATTTAACAAAAGAAAATCTGTGGCAAACTTTATGTTAAGACTATTTTAGTGCTAAGATTTCGCAGCATTAAAATGTAAAATTAACTTATAAACAACTTTGCAGATTTCTAATCTCACCAAGTTTATAGTAGCACATACAGTTATTATGTGTGTAGCATTCAACTAAACAGTTTAATCAAAAAACCAAGAGAAAAAGTTAATTTAATCTGACTATTTAAATATATATTTCTAAAGATTAAAATGTTAAAAATTTACTGTCTCTGACCACCCGCTGAAAGATCAGCTATGAGTTGGCTCCAACTCAATGGTACACACAAAAAAAGATTAAAGTAGAAACTAATACAACAATTAAACAATGAGAGTCATTAACTAAATTACTAATGAGAAGGTTAAGCATAGAATACAGAAATATATTTATTCTAGATGCCTGTGCTTATAAATGGAATGAATGTATTTTGTTACTTTAAGAACACTACAAATATACAGCATAAAACACACACTTTGCTAAAAAGGTAAAGACTTCAAATCTGGCAGCCACACTATTTTAATTATTCGCGATCTAAATGAATTATTGTGTAGAACAATCTAAAAAAAACTACTATATCCTAAAGTATCCAGTTGTCAGAAATGCAGTAGGAACTCAGTAATTACTGATTACAAAGAGAAGCTGTGTCTTATTCTCTGTATTTTATAATAAAGTTCTTTTATGTTTAAATAAAAATCGTATTTCAAATGTTAAGATAATATATTCATCAATTTATGAATAGGTAAGGTAAAGTATATTAAAAAATAACTGCTAAGCAATTATTTAAGATTTTATATATATGTGTGTGTGTGTGTGTGTGTGTGTGTATATTCACAACCTTACTGTAGTGAATCAGGTGGTAGTTGTTATGTGCTGTCAAGCTGCCTGCGATTCATAATGACCCTATGTACAACAGCCCTAAACCATGCTCTATCCTGTGCCAATCTTACTGTCTCTGATACATTTAACCCCAGTACCTCAGTCACTGAATCAATCCATCTCTTCAAGGGTCTTCCTCTTCTGAGTTGTCCTTTCATCCTTTCAAGTACGACATCACTCTCCAAGGATTGGTCCCTCCTTGCAACATGTCCAAAGTATGTCAAAACTCCTTGCCTCCAACGAGCAGCCTGATCTCACTCTGTCTAGGATGAATCTGTTTGTTCTCCTAGCAGTCAATGGTATATTCAATGTTCTTCTCCAGCACCACAGTTCAAAGGCATCAATTCTCATTTTACCATCCCTGGTCACTGTCTAGCTTTCTGATGTATAGCAAATACCTGCGAAGACTATGGCCTGCATCATGCACACCTTAAGTCTCCAGACTGACATCATTTCTCTTCAGAATTTTGGAGAGATCTGTGACAGCCAACTTTCTCAATGCAATTTGTCTTTTAATTTCCTGGCTGCTGGTACCAAGAGTGTTGACTGTACAGCCAACCAAACTGAAGTTGTTCTGTTAACACTCTCAATCTCTTCAACCATCTATCATGATGCTGCCAATTGGCCCATTGGTGAGAATCTTTGTTTTCTTGATTTTGAGCTTCAATCCATATTGAAGGCTGCAGTCCTTGACCTTATGCAGCAAGTGCTTCAGGTCCTCCTCAGTTTCAGCAAGCAGGGTGTGGTGTGTCATCTGCATAACGCAGCCTGTTGTCTACCTTCAATCCTGATGCCATTATTTCTCCTCATAGAGCCCTGCCTCCTGGATAATCTGTTCTGCATATTGATTGAAAAGATATGGAGATAGGACACATCCTTGGTGCACACCCTTCCCAATTTTGAACCATTCAGTGTTCCTTTGCTCAGGTCTGATGACTGCCTCCTGGTCCAAGTATAGGTTTCGCATAAACACAATCAAGTGTTCTAGGATTCCCATTCTGCTCAGAGTCAGCCAGTCTGTTGTGATCCACACAGTCAAATGCCTTTGCACAGTCAATGAAGCACAGGTAGACATACAGTCCAATTTTAAATAAGCACTTTGCCTTCATGGAATTGTTCAATGAACTAGTTAAAGGTGGTTTTACTGAAAAAATGTAGCTTTTAATTTTTCATCTATTGGTGATCTGGGATTAATGTTCTCCATTAAATAAATTAAAAAAAAAAAAAAGGCAATCACCTTGCCTGTCTGGACAACTTAGGCATGTTTCAATTTGTATATATTTGTCTTAAAAATATCTGCCAGATTATATTAAAAGTTATTAAGAACATTTTAAGTAGTTCTAGTAACACAACACAAAACAGAACTACCTCAATGCGTTACTCTTTAAAAAAAATAAAACATGGCTGAATATTGATCATTCGTGCTTTAATAGACATCGTCCAGTTTCATATGTGGCATGAGTTCAGAGTGTACAGAAAGCTTGAAGATTAACCTTATTTTTACAGCATTCCCTTTAGCATTATTTTGCTGACATATCATTTATCCATTAATCAGCTAAAGTGTGCACTGTTCCAAGAACTCTACCATATTTTATTTTTTGTACACTAAACTTATCCAGCACTGACGTAACTATTTTAAAACACAAACGGTATATTTGAAGGTGAAATTATTTGGATATTAATGAAATTTAAATAAAAGAAAACATTTTAACAGAATATAATTACCTCTATATAAAACACAGATAGCTTAGAGATATCTATGACAAAATAATACCCTGTGTACGAGACTAATTGTTATAAATTTCAATAATATATAAATCATAGACAAGACATTACATTTATCCTCTAAAATTAAATCTATGAAGAATTTTTTTAAAAAAAAACATGCCAAATAGTTTTATCTTTGTTTTTTGTAACATATGAGGCTTTCTTTCACTTGAAAGAAATACAGTGGATAAGTAATATTAATTTATAAAACCATGCAGAGTACTGATTTAAATAAAAAGAAATATCTTGATTCTTTTAAATTTTCATTTAAGAACTCAACAGAGTAAGTGGTGGAAAAGTCTTGTTGTTATGTGCCATCAAGTCAAGTAAGACTCGTAGCGACCCTATGAACAAAAGAACTGAACCTTGCTCTATCCTGCACCATCCTCACACTTCCTGACACACAAGAGTTCGTTGCAGCAGTCACCGTATCAATCCACCTGGTTGAAGGTCTTCCTCTTCTTCACTGACTCTTCACCCTTCTCAGCATCATGTCCCTCTCCAAGAAACAGCACCTCACAGCAACATGCCCAAAGTGCGTGAGGCAGAGTCTCATCATTCCTGCCTCCAAAGAGCACTCTGGCTGCACCCTCTCCAAGACACAGCTGCTTGTTCTCTTGGCTATCCACGTGATGTGGAAAAGATTTAGGAAGGAAAAAATATATTTCAAGAAGTTTGTTATGTACCATGGAATCAGAACTGACCCATAGCTGACCCTCAAGCAGGTTTTCAGAGGCAGTAAATCACATGGGAGGAGACTGTCCATTCTTTTCTCTTGGAATAGTTAGTGGATCAAACTGTATGCCTTTGCATTGGCAGTGCTCTCTTTACCCACAAGGTTACCAGAGAGGATGGTTCAACTTCAGTTCACCTGATTTTAAATTTATGGTAGTAAATTGAGATTTAATGCACTAAAAAAAAAAAACATAATGTATTAGAAGTCATAATTAAGAACCAAAGAAATGAGACCTTAAAAATCCAAACACGTTGCGATCCAGCAGATTCCAACTCCGCAACTCTACAGGAGCGAGCACAACTATCCTGTCGTTCTTCAAGTCTATACATCTTTACACAGACAAACCACTCTAGCTTTCTCCTATGGGGTGAGGCACTTGGTGAGTTCAAACCACTAACTTCTTGGTTAGCAGTGAAATGCTTGCTTTGGCCACTGTGCTACAAGGGGTCCTTAAGGAAGTACAATGGGCCTGAAAGTTGTTTGAAAGATTAGAATGGTAGTCTGCCAAATGTCTTCTGAAATCTAGGCTCTAAGGTCTAGAAATGCACTGTGGACAAGACCACCTTTATCCCAGACATTCTCCTCTTCAGAGAACAGGTCACAAACAGAGAAGAAAAGAGCTCTTGCGACTAGTCAACACCTACACTGCAGCAGCAGAACACAGAGCCTGACTCAGTACTCAAAGATAACTGGATCAAAGCTAAAGTAGCACCCCCACATGCTTAGCTGACACAAGCTTATTTCTAAACCCGACTTATCTATATTTTTGGTCTTGAAAGATTCTTTTTTCTTTTAATTAATTTAAATGAAAGTTTACAGAAGCTCAGGGTTTCCATTCATTCATTGTTGCACTTTTCTCCCTGCCCACTCCCTCCCCCCAATTCACTCTTCTCCTTGAAAAGTAAAACTCTTTCATTGTTATGCAATCCCTCCCCCCCAAGTCCACTTCACTGTGCAGCCTTCCTTCTGGACTCCTGTCATGACAGTAATACCCAATCATAATATTTAAATCGACAGTTCTCAAATTCATGGACCTTGGGTAACTTTATCTTAGTGCACTTCAAAATACTAAGGAACAATGATGTCAGATTAAAAAATAAGATGTGCCCGATTCAGGTCACAGTCTTTTCAATGCTTTGCTATGTACCTGAGAGCTGGACAATGAATATGGATGACAGAAAAATCACTGATGACTTTGAGTC